TGCTGGCTGTAGCAGCGCTATAGCGCTGCTATAGCGCTGCACAGCAAAAACGCATAAAAAATCATTTCACTGTTCATTGATTCAAAAAATTATAAACCATAAAAAAAAATCACGAAAAATACACAGTCACTGTGCGCTGGAATCAGCAGTCGAGGCAGTTAGGGATGGAGCAACGGGTTCCATTTCTCTTCCTCAACGTTTTCGTTTTCTTTGCCCTGCTGTTGGCAAGAAACACTGAAAATTTTATATGATCAGCAGCTGTGCACCGAGAAAAATTATATATACCTAGCGTTACAAATGAGCTACAGATCTTAACTTACCAGTAATGGCGCGCGTATTCGGACCCAGGTTCTACAAGAAAATCGCTGAGTTACTGTTGTTCTTTCGTCAGCGGAACGCGAATGTCATTCGGCGAACCAAACCCCATTCGTAAATATCTTGGAAACATCAGCTATAAAGCGAAATGTAGCGCTTGGCCTATTGTGAGGGTGAAGAAAATCACAATGCTTGACAAGGACAAACAGACAATGCTGCCCAAGAAATGCATCGAAAGAGGCTGAAACTTTGTTTTCTTTAAATACACCGGTGCGCTGTATTTCTTTTTTTCCCTCAGTGGCAAAAACTGCAACGGAAGAATTACAATAATTGGCTTCTGGAGGTGCACGATAACTCATATTTTCTACACAGTGGGAACTCATATTTGATATTTTAAAAAAGGAACCTTTTCCACGACAAACATGAGAAACGGTCGCAGTAATTCCGATTTCCGTACCCCGCGAACTTTCTTTCCCTGAAAGCTGTGCTCATTGAGTAATTCTGCGAGCGAATATCTCCTTCCGAACAGCTCAACATCCGTCTTCTGGGAGAGCAAACTTGGATCGAAAACAACTTTGTTCTGGGAACTTTTATATTTCTAGAAATTTTTGGAGACGAGTTTTTTCAAAGATGTTTTGAAAACTTACCATGATGCTCTTCTGCCTATGATGAACGATGCGATCCTGATAGTCAAAAATTCCCACAAAGCCAAAATTCAGTACCGCAACATCTTGCCAATCGTATGAAGCCTGTTTGAAAGTTGCTGGGACTGTTCGATTAGCATACAATCTTTCATTGCTTTTCAACGCTTTATCCATACGCCGCTTACACGAAATCAGCGGGATTTGGGTAAATTCCGCACCAAGACACCAAGCTGTTTGCACTTCCTGGAAAACTTTTACATTAATTGGATTCTCTGTGCCTAGGTGCTATGTAACGACGCATGGGAAGCCAGTTGTAAGCTTACCTCCATTTGTATTTCGTTCTTTGCTTCCATGAGTTTCCAGCCTAACTGCAATGGTGTGAGAGTTGATTTCCCACTTTCTCACTCAACACTCAATTGGCTTGCATCATTCTGCATAAATTCAGCAGTAAATCATCAGAGCGCGTATGTTGGACTGAACTTGCCCCGTATGTGACGTACCGAATCGGCCGGTATTGAGAACAAGACGAATGTGCTCAGCACGATTCCATATGTGTGCTTCGGCGCCTAAGCCATTTGCGTAGTACGCGAAGGTACTGCGGACAAAAAAATAATGGCTCTGAGAAACACTTTTTAATTTAAATTTTAGTTGGTATGTGTTTATGTAAGATATAAGGAAATAAAAGAGGAAATGTGAATAAATTAAAATTAAAATCTGAATGGGAATGTTTCGGTCCATCAAGTCGCATACA